TCTTTTTCTTTTATTTTTTGGTGGTGCTGGGGATGGAACCCAGGACCTCACACGTGCTAGTCAAGTGCTTGACACTGAGCTATATCCAACCCCTCCTTTACTTTCTGTACCTTGTTTTCCTGTTTGTAAATTGAACCATACTTAATCTTATTACAGAAGCTATTTATTTGAGGACTAAATATACAATGTGTTTAGAAATGTGAATTAAAAATTCAGTTCTAGCTGAGTGCTGCTGGCTCATGCCTGTAATCCTAGCTACTCAGGAGGCAGAGATCAGGAGGATTGAGGTTTGAAGCCAGCCTGAGGCAAATAGTTCAAGAGACTCGAAAAAACCCTTCACAAAAAAGGGCTGGTGGAGTGGCTTAAGGTGTAGGCCCTGAGTTCAAACCCCAATACCACAAAATAAACAAACAAATAAACAAAAACAAAAATTCAGTTCTAGGGGCTCAGAATGTAGCTCAGTGCTAGAGCACTGGCCTAGTACGTGCAAGGGTTTGATTTCTGGCATTGCAAAAATTCAGTTCTACGTTTGCAACAGCATTTCAAGTGCTAGGTAGGCACATGTGATTAGTAACTATTATATTGGACGGGGAGGATATGTCCATTACCACAGAAAGTTCTATTGGATGGTGCTAGTTTAGAAGGATGCCTGGAACTAATAAAGGTTTGATAAATATTAGCTGTTATAAATGTTATTAAGAACATATCTGGGCACTGGTGGCTCATGCCTGTAATCGTAGCTACTCAGGAGGCAGAGATTAGGAGGATCTCGGTTTGAAGCCAGCTGTCAAATAGTTTGTGAGACCCTATCTCAAAAAAACCCATCACAACAAAGGGCTGGCGAAGTAGCTCAAGGTGTAGGCCCTGAATTCAAACTCTGGTACCACACAAAAAAAAAAAAAAAAGAAGAAAGAAAAAACACAGGAACAATTGGCAGCTTTGTACATTAAGAGGGTGGGGCGCCTGAGCAGTGCGGCCAGTTATGTGTTCTTAAGTTCTTTCAGGCTGCCTTTGAGAGGACAAAAGAATAGCATGAATGGGCAGCAGGCTGGGGAGAGCAGAGAAGACCAGGTAGAGAGGTTCAGGAAGGGGAGTGGCACCTGGGAAGCCTCCTGTAGGGAGGGGGTGAGCTGGGGACACAGAGGCAGCAAGTCCATTCTGGGAGTGCCATGGAGGGTCACAGGGCAGTGGATTCGAGAAAAGTTAAGAAGGTGGCCTCAAGGGCATGTGCTTCTGCCTTTATGAGCCTTTTTTTTTTTTTTTATGGCGGTACAAAGATTTGAACTCAGGACTTCGAGCTTGCAAGGCAGGCACTTTACCACTCACTACACTTCTGGCCCTCTTCTCAGCCTCTTTGCCTTTCCACTCTAGGAGCAGAAAGGGCCATTACCCTGAAGATGGAGATTCCAGGACCGATGCCCCCCCTGATCAGAGAGATGCTGGAGAACCCCGAAATGTTTGAGGACGACTCCTCGCAGCCTGGTTCCCATACCAAGGCCTCCAGCGAGGATGAAGCTCCTGGGAGCCAGGGCAAAGGGGGCCAAAGTCCCAAGCCTGACCAGGGCCCCTGACCTCCCCTGCTGTGGGGTTGGGCTCCAGGCAGCAGACTGACCATCTCCCAGACACCAACAGTGACTGGGGGAGGACCTGCTCTGCCCTCTCCCACCCTTCCAACGAGCTCCTTGTTTTGCCAAAGTTTCCAGGGGTGACTCTGTGTTCATCCCTGCCCTGCTCTAACCAGCTCCCTCTCCAGTCCTGGGGACCTGTTCTGCTCTCACCAGGACAGAGGGTGGAGGGTTGAGCCTGGGTCTGGATTCTTAAAATCTCAGCACTGCCCCAAAAGATACCAGGTTTAAGGCTCCCCAGGGAAGGAGGAAGAAGACTCTGCCATTCCACAGCCCCTTCCTCTGCCAGGTGCTTGGGCCTCTGGGAGCAAACAGGAACACTAGAGACCAAAAGGAGGGCCCCTGGAGGGGGCTGAGCCCACCCTCTTGCCCTACCCTTGGTGCCCAATGCTGTGTGATGCACCTGCCCTTTGTACCTAGTCCTAGTGCCAGGTGGAGGGAGGGGGCAGGCTGGGCTCTGCATTTCTGGAGTGGGACCTGAGGGTGAAGGGACAGATGCAGGTCCATTCTGTACCTCTTGGTTGGGGGGCAGCCCTTACCCAGCACTCTCCATTACAAGGCCCTTCACCAGCCCTGTCATGTGCCTTGGGCTCCTCCTGCCCCCCATCTCAGCCATTGGGCAGGGACCCTGCTACACTACAGAAGGGCCAGGGATCCCTCTCCTCCTAGTGCCTTCCACCCTTGACCTCCAGAGCAGCTTGGCCCAGGGAGGGGAGATGCTGCTTAGCTGATCTCACCCTGACCCAGAGGAAGCCTCTATTTATTTATTAGCTTTTGTTTACACCCTGGAATGACCCCTTCCTCTAGGGGTCTTGGGAGGGGGAGCCCAGGGCCTCTGTGACCCCTCCATTCTTCCTCCATTCCCCAGTTTGTATTTAGCTGCCAAATACAATTCCCGCTGGCTCCCCTTTTTCTCTGGGGGGGTCAGGGTGCTGTCCCCTCCCCTCTGTTTACATCTCCCTTCTACCCAGCTGTATCGCATATTGCTGAGTTTTCTATTTTTGCAAAATAAAGTGATGGAAACTCATGGAATGTGGCTCTAGGCGGAGTAGGGGAAGTAACCAGCTGACCTGGAGAGGGAACTGGGGTGGGGGTAAGTGGGGCAGAGCTCCTAATCTGTTGAACTTGGCAGTTTTTGCAGGGAGCAAAGAAAATAGAATGAAATGTGCTGGATGGGGTGGGGAGGAAGGATGGGGAGGCCACAGAGCCCCACCCTGTATGCCTGGCCTCAGCCACCAGGTGTGTTCTTACTGGGTTCCTGCCAGCCTTACATATCTGCACTGTTTAGGGAGGAGGTCCACTGAAGTTTCATTTGGTTTGCACAGATGTTCCTGACCCCAAAAAAGAACCTCAGCCCACATCTAAGCTATAGTGTTTCTGGGGATTCTCCAGTTTTTTTGGGGGGGAGGTTGACAGTACTAGGGTCTGAACTCGGTCTCATGCTAGCTAGGTAGGTACTCTTACCACTTGAGCCATGCCCCCAGGATTTGGGTTTTTTTTGTTTGTTTTTTGTTTTTTTTTTTGAGACAAGATCTTGCAATATGTAACCCAGGCTATCCTTGAACCCACAATCATCTTTTCACAGTCTCCCAAGTGCTGGGATTTCAGGTATGCCACCACACTTAGCTCAGTGTTTCTTTGAATATCAGACCCTCTGAGCTCTCTCTGTGACCCTACCGTCACCTTGTGGCTCATTCCCTCCACAACTTCTGAGTCCATTCTTCACCCCATGAGTTCCACTCATTCTCCGTTGCCCTATCTATGGTTTCCTTCTAATACCTCCCTACTGCAGGCCTTACCTCTGCAATGTGTCTTTGCAAAGCCTTTGCCTTCTACCACTGTGCCCTGCACTGCCTTCTTGACCTCTGTGACTCCCCTCATATCCTCCACTCTGCCCACTTCTTTGCTGGAACAGTGCATTGCCTACCTTGTTCCCGGTTTTCTTCATTGGTGACCTATGCATGTAGAAAGGAGTACATGCATGTATAGTGGAGAAGAGTGGGGGAAAAGCAAAAGAAGAAAGTGAAAGAAGATTTACAGGAAACCACAGGGTCTGCAGGGGATGAGGACATTGCCATAGTAACATCTGGTTGTAGGGAAAGGGTAGAAGGATGTCCCATAGCCTGGGGCCAACCCAAACCTGCCCACAGAAGGAGCCCCTCTGCTCCAGCTGCCTGATCCCAGCAGCTACACTTGATCAATCTGAGCACCTGCCTGAGATTGACTCTTTGTTCTGTGCTATGGCTGCAGCTGGGAGCCTGAGAGCCAGTGTCTGCCCACAAGGAGGGGGGACAGTTCTGTGAATACAGACATCGAATCCAGATCCTTCTCAAAGTTCCCTGTAGTCAAGGGTGGACCAGATACAAATCCCATTTCTGTTTTCCACAACCTCTTCTCCCAACAAGATTTTTCCTGCCTCGGCTGCAGCTGTTGTTACTGTATTCTCCTTCCCCAAACTCCTCCGCCTTTTCTAGGATCTACTACTGTCTTGGCTCCTCAGTCCCCCAATCACATTCTCCTAGTTTGGCCCTATGCCTCTTTTTCTCCAGCACGCCAACTGTCTCACCCCCATGACCCCATGACTTCTCATTCTGATTCTCTTTCAGGGACTCACACATGCTAGGCAAGCACTCAACCACTGAGCTATTTCCTCAACCCCTAATTCTGAGTCGTTAGTATATGTCAAATACTCTTGTAAGCAATGAACAGGAATCCTCTCATTTAATTCTCACAACAGGAATCCTCTCATTTAATTCTCACAACAACTCACTTGACATCTGTCAAGTGCCACTTGACAGATGAGAAGGCAGCCATAGGAAGGGTTAAGGAATTTATATAAGGGCTTTACTACCTGGTAAGGGAAAGCCAGGATTTGAACTCAGGCAGATCGGCTCAGAGCCCATGTAGTTAAGCATGCTATGATACAATGGTCTTTGGGTTTCAAAGTAAAAAATAGTCTCTAACTTCCTCCTGTCTGTAGTACTCACTGCCTTCACTTTCCTTCCTATCCTGCTCCCTCCTCTATGAGGGAGTGGAGAGATCATCAATTTAGGAAGGAGGCTGACTTGGATTTAAATCCTATACCAGCCACTTACTAGCTGTGTAACAAAGTTTCTTGGGCAGAGTTCTTGCTCCAAGCCTCAATCTCTGCATCTCCCACCTATGTGACGAGGTTGTTGTGACCATTAACTGTAACATGGTAGTCCAGCATGTGACAGGTGCTCCAGATCCCTTCATCATCCACTCTCTTGGCCCAGCCCACCCCTATCTGCCCCACCTTCTAGATCAGCCATCCCCAAAAGTCCCCCACCCCAGGGCGTGTCACTTCCTCCTCTGCAGCCTCCAGATCAGTACACAAAAACCTCCGCTGCTGCCAGAGGAAGGGCTGCTCTGCACACACATCTGTGAGTACTGGGGAGCCAGCCCTCTTGCCTCCTCTCTTCACAAGCCTCCTGGGAAGAAGGCTCTGACCTGGACACTCAAGACTGTCTAGTCTTGAGAAAGGCTGTGAACTTCTTTCTGCATGCCTAGATTCCCCTGGCCCTGTTCCCTGCTCTAGTTTCACCCCCACCTCCATCTCTCTTTCATCAATTTCCTGAAAGGTACAAAAGGGAGGGGAAGGAGATGGGGATGTATGAAGGCTATCACTAAATGCCTGCCAGGTGCCAAGGGTTCTCCCAAGTAGGCTTCTTCCAATGTTACCCCCAGCTGCCATCCCTGCAGCCTAGTGCTTTGTCCTCAGCTCAGGCTTCTTCCCACAGACTCCATGCTCCTGGGAGACTGTGGCCCAGCAGCTCAGTTCTGTTCCCTCCTGTGGCTCAGTGAGTGGGCTGCTGAGGGGGTCAGCTTGACTCGGGAGATGTGGATGGCTAAGAGAATGTCACACTGGCGTGGCCAGGGTGGCCCTTTTTCCCGATACCTGGTAACAATTTCACCTCAAGGTTTATGTTTCTTTCAAGAGAGGCAGGTCTTTTTATTCCTTAATCAAATGACAAACCAAGTGAGGCAGAGTTTCTGGATGAATTGGTTTATTGCAACCTACACAAAAGTAGGATAAACAAAAATAAGCAAAAGGAGTATATGGAAATATAGGTGACAGTAGATTAGAGAAAAGTAGCTCAGCAGAGTGCTAGGAATAAACCAAACATTGCACATCCCTGAGAGAAATTGTCCAAATGTCCTCAAGGCAGCACTCATAGGAGTCTGGAATGCCCTCAAGCTGGCAACAATGAAGTCAGAGGACTGTTCCCTTGGACAGGGCCTCCAGAGATGGATCCATTTTCCGAGTGAGTACTTGCAAAGAGTGAAGTCACAGTAAGATCGATGTGTCTCAAATGGTAGTCTGAAGGCACTGGTATTTAGAGTGTCAGAAGCTGTATTAGCTGAACTTCCTGGTCAATTTTTGGAGGAAAAGGTCCCAGGTACTAACTATCTCATTTGTGTATTGGCACCCAGTAGTCAATGCAGCTATCAGTCACACACTTAAGGGTGACTGAGAGCCTGCTGCTTTCCTCAGTTACAGCTAGTGTTACAAGAGAAAGCTCAAAATGGAGTTAGTGCTGTCAAAGGATGGTCATGTTAATCATAATGGAAATACCAATTTGGTGTCTGGGGATGTAGCCCAGAGGTAGGGGCCTGGGACATGTGAGGCCCTGTGTTAGATCCTCAGCCTGGACTTTTTTGTTGTTGTTAAATTTAGATTCACAAGAATCATGAGAGCAAAGCACACGCAGAAGGCATAGGGGTGGGTTTGGGAGTAAGAACTGAGTCCAGGAAAATAGGACAAGCATTTGGGCCTAAGGAGAGAAGGGAAAACTGGCTAAGACTCCAAAGGAAAGAGAAATGGTAATAGGTAGAGCCCACTGGAGCCAGCAAGGGAAGACCACTCGTGACTGTAATGGTGCCAGGGTGGTGGGTGGAGGGGAGGAAAGCAGCAAAGTAGCCACAGCCAGGAGGCCTGAGGCTTTTCAATCCAGCTCTGCCTCCTCTTCACTGTGTGACCTTGGCTTCCTGCTCTGGGATTTGGGTTTCTCTTTTGCAAAGAGAAGGTTGAAGTTGAAGATTCTGCTATTCTATGGTTAGGATCAGAAAGAAGGAAGTAAAAGAACTGTGAAGAAGTAGAGAAAGCAGCAGAGAGATGTAATCAGATGTTTAAATAGGAGGGGGAGAGATAGACAAAAAGATAGAAGCAAGTGGGGGCCCCAAGGAGGGGAGGAGGGAGAACAATTTCAAGGGGGTTAGGAAAAGCTGTCCAGGAGTTCAGGGTCCCCCACTTTTTTTTTTTTTTCCAGTACTGGGGTTTGAGCTCAAGGCCTACACATTGAGCTATTCCAACAGTCCTTTTTTGTGTTGGGTGTTTTTGAAATACAGTCTCAAAAAGTATTTGCTCGGGCTGGGGTTGAACCACAATCCTCCTGCTCTCTGCCTCCTGAGTAGCTAGGATTATAGGGGTGAACCACCAGCACCTGGCAAGGGCCCCCTTTAATGAAGATAAGCACACTGCAGGACTCTGGTTTTGTCCTATTCTGGGAACCAGGGTGGCAGTGGGGCCCCAGCTGTGAGATGAGTCAAAGCTGGGCTTTGTGTTTCAGCAGCTCCAGCCTCCCTGACCACAGCACACAGGGCTGAGGTTACACAGATACTGAGGCTTGGGTTGTCCTCTCTCTGAGGGCGGAGGCTCAGTTATATATTGCATGGGCCTGAGGTCACAGGGTGGGAGGGATGGGTAAGGGGAGTAGGAGGAGGTGATCAACGGCTGGGCACCCCACCCCTTCTCTAAACTCCCTACAGAACATCTGGACCTGAATCTGGGCCCAGGCTGAGGAGGGTTTGGATACTTCAAGGCACTTCATGCTGCAGGTGACAATGGGAACTGGTCTGATCCCCAGGGAGCTTGTGTCAACAGTACTCCCCAATACTGCAAATGATATCGACCCTGTACACCCTCCCCTGGGGTTTTACTAAAAAGTCAGTCACTGCACGTGTGTGAAATGATAAATGAATGACTTTTCCTTGCAGCATTATTTGTAGTGGTGAACAATTAGAAATGATTGATTTAATCATTTAATCAGTTTTGTGTGTGTGTGTGTGTGTGTGGTGCTGGGGATCAAACTCAGGGGGCCTTGCACATGCTAGGTTAAGTGCTTTGTCACTGAGCTATACTCAGTGGCTCAAGGCAATCATGAAGGGACTGATTAGCTGGGATATGATTTGTCCACACAATGTAAACCTAATATGGCTCTAAAAGTAAACACAAAGTTCTTTATTTTCTCAGGTAGAAAGAGCTCCAAGAAAAGTAGTTGAAAGAAAAAACACGAAGTGCAAAGTTGTGTATGTTCTACCATTTGTAGAATTCTTCCATTGGATTTGATCACTTGAAAACTTGTATAGCAAAAAATCTCTAGAAAGATTATAAGAAACAAAGATAATAAACTACTTAGGTGTGGAAACTGGAGTATACAGGGAATGGGATAGGACATTTCTTACCGTTTAATTAATTTATTTTGTGTTACTGAGGTTTGAACTCAGGACCTACACCTTGAGCCACTCCACCAGCCCTTTTTTGTGATAGGTTTTTTTGAGATAAGGTCTTGTGAACTATTTGCCCAGGCTGTCTTCAAACTGTGATCCTCCTAATCTCTGCCTCCTGAGTAGCTAGGATTACAGGCGTGAGCCACCAGTGCCTGGCCAGTAAAATACATCTTAAAGTTTATCATTTTAACTATTTTAAATGTACGATTTGTGCAACCATCAGCATTAATTTTAGAACTTTTTCATCCTCCCATGAGAAAGTTTCCTTAACTAAGCAGTCAGTCTTTAATCCCCTTTTCCCCCAAACCCCGGTAACACTAGTCTACTTTTTGTCTAGATTTTTCCTAGTTTGGATATTCATAGAAGTGGAACCATACAATACATAGTTTTTTTCATGACTGATTTTGCTCACTCAGCATAATATTTTCAAGATTCACCCACGTTGTGGCATGTATCACTATTTCCTTGCTTTTTTATGGCCAAATAATATTCCATTATATGAATATAACACCTTTTTTTGTTTACCCATTCACCAAGTGATAGGTTCTTTCCCACCTGTTAGCCATTGTCAAGAGTGCTGCTGTGAACATTCATGTATAAGTTCTTATTTTAACACCTGCTTTCAGTTCTATGGGCTTATATCCAAGAGTAGAATTTGCCAGGTCATAGGATAATTCTATGTTTAACTTATGGAGAAATGAGCTACACTCCCAGCCTTTAAATTTTTTATTAAGTTTTTTTATTTATTCATAAATTTTTATTAGGACATATTCATTATACAGGGGCGATTCACAGTGACAATTCTGATTAGACTTATATTGTACATTATTTACTTTGCCCCCATCATCTTTCTAATTAAGTTTTTAACAACCAGGAATTTGCCTGGTGGTCCTAGAGGTTGTTCCAGAATTACCCTGCCCCCAGGCTCTTGCCTCAATTAGAAAAAAAAAAAAGTTACCAACCCTGGTCTCCCCTGTTCTCTTACCCAAAGACTTGTAGAACATTCTTCTTGTATTCCATCCTTCTTTCCTCCTGCTACCATGTCACCCAAGTGGGAGTGACTATCCTTCTGACTCTTACACGCTCCCTCCCTCATCTGCTCCAGCCTTCTTTCTTGTCATTCCCACTCACTAACCCTCTTCCTTTATTTAGAATTCAAGGCTGTGGAATTCTAAGGGCTATTGGATTATTTATTCAACTTCTTCACTTTACAGATGTGGAGACACACCCAGAGAGAAAGCCTGACGTACCACACAGCCAGTGAATAACTGAGGTGGGGCAGGACCTGGTGTGTTTCCCGTTCGATTCTGTTCCAGACAGCTTGGAATCTTGTTGAAGAGACCTTCATGTAGCCCTTAGTGCCTCCAGGCTGTCACCAGGTTTTTTACTTGGGCCACATGGAGTCTACACAAATGAAGAACATGTCTTCCCTAAGGGCCCTACCCTGGCCTGGTACCTCCCGCCATTTTGAAAAAAAACAAAACAAAACTCTTGAATCCATAGGGGGATGTGAAACTACTAGGAAAGTAAAGAGTTGGGGGAGAATTTTGAAGGTGGCAACCACAAGCTAAGTTTAGAGGACTTGTTTTGAAGGTGGCAACCACAAGCTAAGTTTAGAGCTTGGGGGTCCTTCCTGAGGAGCCACGTGTCTGCCTTTATATATCCTATTACAGGCCATGGTGGTTTTGTCAATGGTTCTTGTGTTTCTGCTGGTCCTGGGCAGAGGTGAGAGTGAGTTGGACACCAAGATCACATCCTCAGGGGAGGCCACAGAATGGGGATTTCCTGACCTGTCCCTGCTGAGGTCCTGCCAGCCAGCTCCCACCTGCCAGAAGTGCATCCTGTCACATCCCAGCTGTGCATGGTGCAAGCAACTGGTAAAGATGGGCCTATGGCCTTTGAACTACGTGGTGTGTATGTGCAGCCTGGGTGTATATGTGTGTGGTCGTGTGCATGATGTGTGCTTTTCTGGTTATACCCTGCAGTCTCATGTGTGAGTGTGTGCACACAGGACCCCTGTGAATGTGCACACATTCACACACATGCTAGTTTCCTGTGCATGTGCAATTATGTCTGTATCTGTTTCTGTTTATGTGGAGAGGACTTCTGACCACGAACCCAGAAAAGCATGTCCTTATAGGAATTCATGTTTGTATACAGGCAAAAGTCTTTTGAGCATGTACACATGAGAAAGTGTATTGGCCAGTTAAAGCTGCCATAACAAAAAAATCATAGATTGAGTGGTTTAAACAACAGGAATTTCTTTCTTTCTTTTTTATTTTCTTCTTTTTTGGTGGTACTGGTGTTTGAACTCAGAGCCTCAAGCTTGGTAGCAAGGGGCTCTACTCCTTGAGTCACACCTCCAGTCCTTTTTGCTTTAGTTATTTTTTAAATAGGGCCTCCTATTTTTCCCGTGGTGGGGTCTGGACCTCAGTCCTCCTATTTATGCCTCTGGTGCCTCCTGTGTATAGCTGAGATGACAGGTATGGGCCATCACACTTGGCTTTCTTGGTTGAGATAGAGTCTCCCTAGCTCTTTGACCCAGTGGGCCTCAGACTGCATTCTTTCAGTCTCTGCCTCCTGAATAGCTAGGATTATAGGTACGAGCCACCTTGTTCAACTAGGAATTTCTTTCTTGTAATTTGATGTTGGGAAATCCAAGATGAAAAATATCGGCCAAGGGCTGGCAGAGTGGCTCAAGTGGTAGAGTGTCTGCTCAGCAAGCTGGCCAATTTGGTGTCCCAGAGAGGACTCTCTTCTTGACTCATAGACTGTCTATGCTCTCACGTGGTGGAGAGAAAGAGAAAACCAGCTTTTTGGTATCTCTTCTTATAAGGGCACTAATCCCATCAAGAGGGCCCCACCCTCCTGAACTCATCATTTACCTTTACTTCCCAAAGGTTCTATTTCAAATATCATTGAGGGTTAGGGCTTCAGCAGAGGAATTTGGGGGAGTGAGGGGGGGGAGGGTTCCAGTTCAGCCCATAACTGAGAGTGTATGGTGGGGTTTCTGAGTCTTTGGGGGTGGGGGTTATATTCCTAGATGGGTAGTAGCCTGTGACTGAGCCAGTGGAAGGAAGGGAAGGCTTCTAAAAGCCTGTGGATTTAAGGTGGGAGTCAGGGAAGAGAGTGGATGGTAAGGCTTGAGCTACCTAAGTGGCTAAGGAGGATGGTGGGGAATGTGTCTCTCTGGCTGTTCAAGCAAGGCTGTTCTTTGTTGATACCTTCAAGAGGCAGAGCACTGAGGACACAAGCTGGGGCTGGGGTGAACAGCCTCTCACAGGAAGGAGAGTTAAACAGTGCAGGCCCAGAATAAGAGATGAGGGCAAACTTACAGACAGTCAGAACTACAGATGCTGAGAGGGCCCAGGAGAAAGGTACACAGTGAAGAGGACAGAAAGGGTAGACATAGTCTGTGGGAAGCAGAGGTGAGGTGCCAGGTTGTAGCTAGGGAGACTGGATTCTTGGGGCAATCGGGTCTGTGTCTGCTTCTTCAATTCCCCGACTAAGGGCTGGCACCGGAGCCAGCTGAGAAGCCACCCTAACCATTTCCTTCCCCTGTGGCTTCCCAGCCAGGGCAGGATACCAGATACACTAGGGGGCAGGTGTCTCCTCTTTTGTCCCCATCCCAGGATCTGTGGGTTTTAGGTCTGACCCCTTTCTCATTTTGATGTGAGCATGAAGGGGACATTGGACGAAGAGTTCCTTTTCTTGTGGTAGTGAGGTCGCTGAGATCTCAACAGGAAGTCTGTGGCTCTAGAGGGGAAGGGTGAGAGGATGGGGGAAGGGACAGTCGAGATAAGGGTAGTGGAGGGGACTGCTCTAGGAAGTGGAGTTCTGCTGGGGAAGAAGGGACCGAAGTTCCAGGTTAGCAGTGGAGGCAAGAGGAGGGGAAGGAATCAGAGGGGCTCAGGTTGTTGACTGAGAGCGATTGGAGGCGGCTGGACTGCAAGGTGGCCCTGGGAGCCGGGCTGAAGAGCCATGTGGTCTGGGGTCCCCACACGCCTCGTCTTGCGGTACAGAACTTCACAGCCTCTGGGGAGGCGGAGGCGCGGCGCTGCGCGCGGCGAGAGGAGCTGCTGGCCCGGGGCTGCCCGGAGCAGGAGCTGGAGGAGCCGCGCGGCCGGCAGGAGGTGCTGCAGGACAAGCCGCTCAGCCACGGCGTCCGGGGCGAGGGGGCCACCCAGCTGGCGCCGCAGCGGCTCCGCGTCACGCTGCGGCTCGGTGAGTCCAGGGCCGCGCGCCGGGGCGGAGGTCTGGGCTGAGGTTCGAATGCACTCCGCTGCTGACCCGCCGACCCCTCTTTCCCCGCCCAGGGGAACCCCAGCAGCTCCGAGTCCGCTTCCTCAGAGCCGCGGGATACCCGGTAGACCTGTACTACCTTATGGATCTGAGCTACTCCATGAAGGATGACCTGGAACGCGTGCGCCAGCTTGGGCACGCTCTGCTGGTCCGGCTGCAGGAGGTCACCCATTCCGTGCGCATTGGTGAGCGGGGTGCTGGTCCCCACCCTACAAGACCTTGCCTCTGCCAGCTGTAGCTTCTACCACTGCCTTAGCCTTTGCCAATATGATGTCCTGGACTCACGAGGTCCCCACTTGCCCCCTCCCAGTATTTAACAAATCTGATCAGGCCTGCAGGAGATCCTGGCATTTGTCTCCAGAAACAGTCATCTTAGGTCGGGGAGACTTAGGACTGAGTCTGGAGAGAATATGTTTAGACAGCTGCTCAGCGTCAGACAGTTGCTCTGGACCTACCAAGCTGGACACCATCCTCACGCTAACCATCTCAGCCAATTGACTTTTGGACAAGCTTAGAAGCCACAGTGTCTGCTTTACATTCTGTGCTATCTTTCTTTTGCTCAAGAGTTCCTCTTTTTGCCTCCTGCTGCTTCTACACCTTGGCCTTCCCCAGCCTTCAGAAAGTCCCCCTGCCCCTGTTATGTCCTCTACATCTCCTCCACCCTCACTTTCTTGAGCCGGTGACTCCAACCCCTCACCAGGCACTAGGTTTCTGCCTTCTAGGAGCACCCTGTCTCCTGAGTCCTCAGCAGTCATTCCTCCATCCTGCTGTTGCCCAGTGACTCCTAGCACAGGCTCATGCCTCCCCCCTCCCAGGTTTCGGCTCCTTCGTGGACAAAACAGTGCTGCCCTTTGTGAGCACAGTGCCCTCCAAATTGCGACACCCCTGCCCCAGCCGGCTGGAGCGCTGCCAACCGCCCTTTAGCTTTCATCATGTGCTGTCCCTGACTGGGGACGCTCAGGCCTTTGAGAGGGAGGTGGGGCGCCAGAGTGTGTCCGGCAACCTGGACTCACCTGAAGGTGGCTTCGATGCCATTCTGCAGGCTGCCCTCTGCCAGGTGAGGAGGTGGGGTATGGATTTGTTTTGAGCCAGGACTGCCCACTATAGTTGTATGGGGCACAATTCTAGGGGGTGCATATCCTCACTGTAGTTTACATATGTATCTTAACAATTACCTGGTGGGTTGGAGTGAAATACTTTAAGGAAGAAATACCTTGTAAATTTTTCTAATTTAGTGTCTCCACTAGCAACAGCTCCTGTTTTAGGGCTGGGGAAAGCAGGGGGAAGCAAGGAGCTGTAGGCAGGGGGATGGACAAACTCATGCGAAGCTGGCCAGATCTCTGGCTCATAGAGCTGGCTGGTGTGGCTTGAGGGCTGGACCCAGGTACATAGCCCAATCCTCACTCCCACCCCAGGAGCAGATTGGCTGGAGAAATGTGTCCCGGCTGCTGGTGTTTACTTCAGATGATACATTCCACACAGCTGGGGATGGGAAGTTGGGTGGCATTTTCATGCCCAGTGACGGGCATTGCCACTTGGACAGCAATGGCCTATACAGTCGCAGCCCAGAGTTTGTGAGTCCCCCCCTCCCGCCTTTCCCATACCCCTGTCCAGTGCCACACCTCCTCTTTTTCCAGGACCCCCCTGCCGCACACTCCTCACTGGCAACCCTCCTGTAGAACTCTATCATGTATCTTTCTTAGCATTTCCTTCTCTCCATGTCCCCAGCTGCTCAGACAGAAAACCTGTGTCATCCACTCCAGTAACTCCTTCCCTCTCTGCCAGCCCTCAAAGTCTCCTCCAGCTGGTGGAACCCTGGATTTCTTGAGCTGAGAGCACTTGGCCTATGGGGGAGACCTGAGTGCTAGTGTTCACTCTGTCCCTGTTCCCTGCCCCAGGACTACCCCTCTGTGAGTCAAGTAGCACAGGCCCTCACTGCAGCAAACATCCAGCCCATCTTTGCTGTCACCAGTGCCACACTGCCTATCTATCAGGTAAGAGTTGTCTGAATGCAGTGTCCCCGGGCCCTGACCTCTCCCAGTTCCCACAAAGATCCATTCTCCACCATCATTTGCTTCCTTTCAGACCCCTAGGAGCCCATGTTCTTAGAGCTGAGTCCCACCATTTCCTTCTCCTCCTTATAACTCAGGAGCTGAGTCAACTGATTCCGAAGTCTGCGGTGGGGGAGCTGAGTGAGGACTCCAGTAACGTGGTGCAGCTCATCATGGACGCTTATGATGTGAGGGGAAGATGGCAAGGGTGGGCACAGGGGAGAGGTGGAAAGGGGTCATTAGTTCTGCAGGCTGGCAGAACTTAAAAGGGAATGATCACTTGTGTGTGTGTGTGTGTGTGTGTGTGTGTTAGTGGGGATTAAACTCAGGGCTTTGTGCATGCTAAGCAAGTGCTCTACCAGTTGAGCCACACCCCCCAGCTCCTACATGATGACTTTTTGGCTGTACCATTCTACAACTCCTACCTACAGTTTGCACATTGCTGTCATTAGCAGTTTGCTCACTCACATTCATAAATCTTTTGTGTATGTATGGTTTTTGTGGTACTGGAGTTTGAACTCTCACATTCATAAATCTAGGTGCACAAATCATGAAGCCTTGCTCTGGGCAAAGAAGGACAGTAACATTCACTGAGCTTTTATTTCATGCCAAACATTGTGCTAGTCACATACTTTTTGTCACCTTCTTTAACCTCACCAGCTTCCTAACTGTTAAGACCCCTATTTTACAGATGAGGAAACAGACACAGGAGGCTAGGTTCCTTGCCTGTGGGCTGTATATAAGGATAAGAGATCCCATGCCTGCTTTCACTATGTTTATAACTAATTCAGAACCACACAATTTTACAGGTGGAAGGAACCATAAGAAGTCTTGAGGGTTTCTTGGGCTTAGGTTGCATCTCTGCTCTAATCTGTAGGCCTCTTGATGACAGGGACCAAGTGAGAAAACTGGACAGTGTCAGGTTTCCAAGGATAAACTTGATATAATGAGTGTGCCCATCAGATCTTATATGCACACGGGCTGTATGTCATGGTTTGGGGTTTGACAAACACAGTCACTGCACATTTACAGTGCCTGGCCAGTTATAGCCCCACTGCCTTTGCTGGCAGCTAGGCTGCCATGATGTAGCAGAGGCCTCCAGATTCTGGGTGTTCCACTGAGGGGGTCACAGATCCTGCATTTCCTGAAGAAATGCCTCCTCACTGGGCAGGATGGAAGGAGCCCCAGGGCCACAGAGGGCAGGGTTCAGACAGAACTGGGAATAGCTAGGGAGGGCAGACTGTAGGGCTAGGAGTCCTGCCTTCATGTGGTTACTTCCTCTCTTCCCACAGAGCCTGTCATCTACTGTGACCCTTGAACACTCTTCACTCCCTCCTGGTGTCAACATCTCTTATAAATCCCAGTGTGGGGGTCCTGAGAAGAAAAAGGGTGAGGCTGGGGAAGCCCGGGGACAGTGCAACCACGTCCGAATCAACCAGACGGTGAGAGCCAGCCAGGATAGGTAGATGGAAGAAAGTGGGGAATGGGAGAGGGAAACCGAAGCAGACAGGAAAAGATGGGAGGCAAAGCATATAAAACAGTGGGAAAGCAGGGGTTATCTTACACCTACCTTCCTGAGGGGGCTTAGTGACTACTTCTTCATGTGTATGTCTAGGAGATGGGTGTTAGCAGGACCCTACCCCTTAATCTACTAAGGGGTAGGGTTCTACACAGTCAGTGGGCTTGGGTGTAGGTACACATCTGTGTGTATAGTCTTATTCCTGTTCCTTCTCACCCTGTCCTCAGGTGGATTTCTTGGTTACTCTCCAAGCCAACAACTGCCTCCCAGAGCCTCATCTCCTGAGGCTCCGAGCCCTTGGCTTCTCAGAGGAGCTGACTGTGGAGCTGCACACACTGTGTGATTGTGACTGCAGTGATGCCCAGCCCCGGGCTCCCCACTGCAGTGATGGCCAGGGACACCTTCAGTGTGGGATGTGCAGGTGAGAGGTTCAACCCTCTAGCTCTCAAAAGACCCCATCTTGTATTCCTCCTCCTTTGCTTTTTGCCCTCCCACTGGAGCCTCCTGGACATACCAGGAGTCCACCTAAATGCCATGCCCAGGCCCTCCCTTCAACCAGAGCCCCTTCACTCTTCTCTCCCTCCACCCTTGGTGTTCCATGCACCCTGGTGTCCCTCTAGCCACTGGTCTGTCTCCACCTCTTTCAAGAACTTGGATTTAGAGCATCTTGACCCTCTGCCTCACCTCTTTCTTCTGCCTTCTCTTCTCAGCTGTGCCCCTGGCCGCCTGGGTCGGCTGTGTGAGTGCTCTGAGGCTGAGCTCTCTTCCCTGGATCTGGAGTCTGGGTGCCGGGCCCCCAATGGGACAGGGCCCCTATGCAGTGGTAAGGGACGGTGCCAATGTGGACGTTGCAGCTGCACTGGACAGAGCTCTGGGCGTCTGTGCGAGTGTGATGATGCCAGCTGTGAGCGACATGAGGGCATCCTCTGTGGAGGTACTTGGAGGGTGGGGTCAGAGAGGCCCTTCGACCCTGGGCATCTCCTGGCATTGAGGGCAAGCACCAAAGATTCTGGTTGGATGTGCCTGGCACACTTGAGATGGACTGGGCGAATGGGCCTGTGGTGGTATGTGATGGCCAATTGTGTGGGGGGAGTATGATTGTCAACCTGTGTATGGCTCTACCCCAGGCTTTGGCCGCTGCCAATGTGGAGTGTGTCACTGTCATGCCAACCGCACGGGCAGCGCATGTGAGTGCAGTGGGAATGTGGATAGTTGTGTTAGTCCTGAGGGAGGACTCTGCAGTGGGAATGGAAAATGCAAATGCAACCGCTGCCAGTGCTCTGACGGTTACTATGGGGCTCTGTGTGACCAGTGCCCAGGCTGCAAGACACCATGTGAGAGACACAGGTAAGGCCTCAGGCTTTAGATGCTGGGAGCAGGGCACAGTGGGGCTTGCTGAACACCCACCTGCTTGTTCTACTTCCTGGAGGGGGGTGGGAGAGGGCCAGTGGGTAACTGCAGGGAACTTATTGCAGTATCTACTGGACAGGGACTGTGCAGAGTGTGGAGCCTTTGGGACTGGCCCACTGGCCACCAATTGTACCAAAGCTTGTGCCCAGGCCAATGTGACCCTGACTTCTGCTCCTATCTCGGATGATGGCTGGTGCAAAGACAGGACACTGGACAACCAGCTGTTCTTCTTCACAGTGGAGGATGAGGATGGAGGCAAAGTTGTGCTGAGAGTGAGACCCCAGGAGAGTAAGTGGGTACAAAAGCCAGGGACATACTAAATGGAACTCTGGAAGTTTGATTGGTAGGGCTTCAGAACAGGGAATGTGGATATGATAATAGGAAAACAGGCTGAGTTTGAAGCAGAGCTGGGAATCTAGCACAAAAGCAGAGGTGATGACCAAGAGGATGAGTCTAAGGCCCTAGGCAATGAGGATAACCTTGGACCCTGATAGGTTCCCACTGCTTTTGGAACAGACATGGTTGGAGAGGCTGGACACCTTGTGGGCAACTGTCTATCTGGCCCTATGTCTTGGCCCCCCAGGAATCTGTGTCCTTTCTTTCTCACAGAGGGAGCAGATAACACCCAAGCTATTGTGCTGGGCTGCATAGGGGGCATTGTGGCAGTGGGCCTGGGGCTGGTTCTGGCTTACCGGCTCTCAGTGGAAATCTATGACCGCCGAGAATTCAGTCGCTTTGAGGAAGAGCGGCAGCAACTCAACTGGAAGCAGGTGAGCACACAGCCTCCTACTGCACTGGGCTGAACTTTGTTTTGCCTTTCCTGGTGGGGTCCGTCTTGTTGCTTCCTACCTAGGTGCCTCCCTCTGCATGTTTAGCCAATTCTGCTGCCAACTTCTTTCAGCTCCTAGGATCCCACTTAAGTTCTAGATTGATCTCACTGGACTAGATAAATGTGAATAATTCTGAGATGTTCCCCTCATAATTTGCAACCTTCTTCTACAGGACAACAACCCTCTCTACAAAAGTGCCATCACAACCACCATCAATCCTCGCTTTCAAGGGGGAGATGGTCCCATTCTCTGAGGGGGGAGGAGGGGACTTACCAGGGTTCTGTTCTTTGGGAGGATCATGGGAATGTGGGTAGTCTGGAGGACTAATTCACTGCAAGGAGTGGCCTTCACCTTACTTTACCTTCAGAGTGACACTCAAGAGAGCTGTTTCCTACTGTGAACCTGTTACCCACCTCATAAAGAATAGCAATTCTCCTACTGGAGTATACAATAAAGAGTCTAACCTCAGACTACCGCTGTCTGTCACTTTGTTTCACTCCACCAGGACCAAAGTAGGTTTTCTAGCCTGGGCCTTAGGAAAGCTCATGCTCATTCCTTCTCTGGCCACCTGAGGGCAGGGAGAGGCTGGCTCCTGCTGCTGGCCTGGGAACAGCTGGGTCCCAACTTCCCAGGCCTTGAGGGTACTGATATAGAAGGGTCACCACTCAGAAACACTGCCTCTGCTGGAGTGTGCGCCTTTCTTATATGAATGCCCTATTTTTGCTTCCACTTAATAGTACCTCTGTGGAGAAGGGGAGTTTTATTTTAATTAATTGATTTTGGCAGTACTGAGGTTTGAAGTCAGGGCCTCATGCTTGGTAGGCAGGTGTTCTTCCACTTGAGCCACTCCTTTTCTGTGTTGGATATTTTTGAGATAGGGCTGGTTTCAAACCATGATCCTCCTCATCTCTATCTCCTGAGTAGCTAGGATTATAGGGATGAGCCACCTACCTGCACCTGGCAGAAGAGGAATTTAAAAAAGTTTACAGAGCACTGAAAGTTGTAGGGTGGCTATACTGGGGGAATGGGGGAAAGAAAATCATTCTAGTATCCAATGAAAAAGCTTCCCCAAAGGATAGTCTTCCCAAATAGGAGATGGAATGTAGAAAAGCCCCATTCTTTTTATTTAAATATCCTAAATATATCACGAAGGAACATACACTGCACTTTAATGGTAAAAAGATACAAGTTTATAACATCTTATAAAAACTACCATTTAAAAGTGATCTTGTTCATTTGATAGTTCCCTCCCCCATAGCAAAATAAGTATATTAAAAAAAAAAAAAAAGGTGGAGAGAAAGGGTAGGAAGGGGATTGAAGATAAAAGCCCCAGGGCCACAGCACAGGAAATGTGTGCCTGGGGAGAGGGTTAAACGCTGTGGTAATGCCACTCATTTCAACCCTCCAATGTCAAGCCATGGGGCACAATCAGTAGCTAAGTGATGACAAGAGGCTGCTGGCAGTGGATGGAAAAGATGGGGTACTGGGAAGGGCAGGGCTGGTACAGCCTGAAGCAGAAGCACACCCAGGAACCAAGCCCATGTGCTGGTCTCTGAGCGCCTGTCCTATCTCCATTTCCTACGCTCCAAACACATCTTTCCAGTGCTAGGTTCCAACCCAGCAATGGAGGGGTGGTGCAATGGGTCCAGGTGGTGCCGTGGTCTTAGTCTATGGTTTTCCTAGGGTAAATATGGGACTTCTGGGGCCTCTGGGAGATCAGTCACAATTCACCCATTTGCTCATCTTTCTTCACATCCATTACCCCAAAACATCAGCACCCGAATAACCACATGCTCCTGTATTCCTCACACCCAATCCTTGGAAGGAAGTGGTTGTGGTAGAAGTTCCCTTCCTTCCTCCCACCTGGGCAGGAAGTAAAGGTCTGCAGAAGCCATGGTACATTCTGTTAACTGACTTTTTGAGACTGGGTTTTGCTACATAGCCCAGGATGGCCTCACACTCAGACTCCTCCTGCCTTAGCCCTACAAGTGCTGGGATTACAGGTGTGTACCACCACACCTGGCTTCTGGGGACATTCAGACCTATGACATACATTCATACACACAGGGGCATGGATCACTCATGGAACTCTACACACACTCTCATCCCAAACAGATCACCTGTAAGTAGCAGGGAGGGTGATTCCTACTTTCAAAAGCACTTTTTGGAGGATAGATTTTTCAATATATCCTCCTGCCAAGAGTTGAGTGACAAAAATTCCAGTCCCAGCAGTGTCCTGTTAACAGGAAGGGGGCTGGCTCACATGTAAAGATGCCCCTACTTGTAGGGTTCTGGACTACATAAAATAGGAGTGTCAGCAGAAAGTTACAAGAACACATGGCAGCAAAATTTCCTCAGCATTTTCCCCAAAGAATCTCAGGTGCTGTCAGGGAAAAGCTGAAGGGTGCCACGTCTCCTTCCTTTTTCCCTGAAGTATTCCTACCTTCACCCCTTGGAAATGGCAATAACCAGGATTATGCTGCTGTCTATTCCCTCATTTTCTGGGTAATGAATCACATTTCTTGGAGGTTGCAATCTCAGATCTCCACCAACAGCTCAGTATTCAGGTTCACCCAGTCTCCACAATTACTAAGACATGTTCCCCCACCCCCATGAATCAGGATAGGCCACAGGGGGAGAGAGGGAAAAGGGTCAGTCAAACCCCAGAATTTCCCGTAAGGATCCTTCCTTCAGCAGGAAGAAAGAAGGTTTTTATTTTACTTTAGAAAAATCCATGTTCACAAGCCCTAGCTGAGTTAGAAACACCCTAACCACTAGACTGTTGAATCAATCTAAAACAAAAACCCTTTTGGAACAATGCCCTTCTGTTCCCTAATTGAGTTTCTCAGCTCCTGCTGGGACTCAAAACACCTTTCAGGTCAGGGTGGGAAGAGGCTGTTTTATGCTCATCTTTTCTTAAATTAAGGGCCAAAGAAGGTTTTGGCTCAGTAATACACCATTTTCTCCAAGCATACAAATACAACCACTCACATAGCACACACAAAAAAGACATCTGATCACTTTTTGGAGGGTGGACAGGGTGGTGGTGTTGGAGCAGAGGGGAGCAAAGAGTATGGTTAAGAATAAAACCTACATTAGGTTTTTTCCTGCAGTCTTTCCTCTGTAGCAACCCTCATTCCCCATTACTTACAGGGATGGCCATCAAGAAGGAAGCCAAGATCTTGTTCTATGGGACCAAAGATCACAGCCCCATCTCCTCTACCTGAATACAGTGATAAGACTTGGGCAGGAAGAATGGCTCCTATCATGTTACAGTCATGTCAGGGGTCAACAAGTTCCTTTGTTTCTCAAAAAGGTGTTAGCCAACTTGGAACTAATCTTAGGTTGTTCCTACGAGAGCACAAGGAGAGAACCCACTCTGACATCCACAATTCCCTGCTCAACACCTCTGTCTGGCTTTAGGAGTCAATGACAGTGAGGTAGCCACAAACCATATCCAAGACTAATTGCCCAGAGAGAAGGAAAGGGCTTCATGGGCCTCTCTTACCCAAGTCTCCTTCAAAAGGCACTTGAGCTGACCCCATTAGGTACCAGTGTGGCATCAGCATGGGAGATCACAACACCCATGGGCACAAGTCTTCCTCTTTTCTTGAGGAGGTAAGAGGTACTGCCCACTCTTCTTGGATCCACAGCCCATGTGTACTTTTCCCACCATTTTTTGTTTTGTCCCTACAGTGTATAAGAAGGCCAAAGTAAGCTCAGCTGCCATTCCTGGTCCTATTCTCCCTCAAACAGGAGGTAAGGTGCAGGGCTGTGGAACATTGAGGATCTATTTTAACTAAAAACTCAATTTCGGGGGAGGGCTGGACCAGTCGTCCCTGCTCTGGACTAGGACTTTATGCCCTCAGATTACCTGCACCCACAGTTTACCTGCTGAAATTGATTTTGGGTAAACAAAAACAAAAACAGAACAAACAAATCCCCTTCCACAGTCTTTTCCATTTCAGCTGCCAGCTGGAGTCCAAGGTTGTGGGAGCCACATGTTAGTCTTGGTCCTGTACCCTATGTACCCTATGATCTCAGCCAAGGGTCCAGGGACTAGCTTCCCTACCCAGGAATGCTGTAGGAACTTCCCCGAGATACTCAAAGTCTCAGATTATTTACAGAGCTGAAGCTCTGGAGCCACTGTCCCCTGATGCACTCTTCTGGTCTCCTGGGTCCACTCCTCCAGGAGGGGGACAGGTTCAGACGGGGTGGTGGTGGGACCATCAGACCAGAGGAGGTGCACTCTTCGGTAGACTCTTCTGATCACTCCCACCACCCAGGGCCCCTTGCACCTATAGTGAAAACTGCCCGTCGGAAGTCTTGGACTGGCACCCTTGGCACATCCGTTTATGTCTGAGTAATCGATCTGTCCGAGAAAAACACTGAGAAAAAAGGAGGGTTAAGAGTCTGAGGAGATTCTCAGCTATTTGTTAACTAGCTCCTTCCCCACACAGAAGGCACATGTCACATCTTATGTCCCCTCAGCATGTGCACAGACAGCATGAGTACACAGTGGTGCTGGAGTCAGAGTGCCTGACTCTGAATCCTGGCTTTATCATTTGGGGCTGTGTGACCCTAGTGAATTATTTAACTGCCCTGAATCTGTCCACTTATCTATGAGTTAGCCGAAAGTACCTATTCACAGTATAGGTACTATACTATATTCATCAAATATTATTTATTTACTTACTTATTTTACTGTGCTAAGGATGGAACCTAGGGCCTAGTACATGTTAGGCAAGCTCTCTACCACTCAACTATAGCCCCAGTCCCTCATCAAATATTTATGTCAAGGCAGGTATAGTTCTTGGGCCTGAGGATGGGGGAGAACCAGAGAGGCAAAGTCTATGCCCTCACTGAACTTTTTTTGATAGGGTCTCTTTATGTAGACCAGGCCAGCCTCCAACTTATGATCTTCCTGCCTCAGTCTCCCAAGTATTGGTATTATAGGTGTGCACCATCACACTATGCTCCCTCATGGGACTTTTATTCTTATGTTTTAAAGATTCAAGGTAAGTATGGAACAAAGCTTGAGATACTGCAAAACATCAGGAAGTGTTAGCTTCTATCATTTCTCATCTTGTTCTTGTCTTATTTGGTCCTCATCAGATCACATACTGACCCCCAGGGCAAAGATTGTATCTCTTCCTTCAAAGTGCATGAGCTTTTAAATTGGACTGAATCCAACTCTGCCCTTGATCTGCTGTGTCCCTAGGAAACTTAACTTCCCTGAATTTCAATTTCCCCATATGCAAAATGAGGATAATATATGGACTTAATTTTGACTACTAAACTTTACCCCACAAAAGACTATGTAAAGAATGTTCTCAAGATGCCTGGCACAGAGAAAACGCTCAAGAAATACTATTTTATATATATATTTTTTTTGGGGGGGGGCACGATACTGGGGCTTGAACTCAGGGCTTTCACCTTGAGCTACTCCAGCAGCCCTTTTTTGTGATAGGTTTTTCTGACATAGGGTCTTGTGAACTATTTGCCTGGGCTGGCTTTGAACCATGATCTTCCTGATCTCTGCCTCCTGAGTAGCTAGGATTACAGGTGTGAGCCACCAGCACCTGGCTAATATACTATTATTTTGATGATATTCTATGGAGCTCTCTCCATAATCAGCGGAATAAAGCTGGAGACATAAGGCGCTAACTCTAACGTAGAGAGGAATGCCAGTTGGCTTCCTTGTCAGGGAGGAGTGGGATAAAACTCTGGTTCTTTGAAAGGAAAAATTTATTTATAGGGGGTATAGCAGGGATGGATGACATGCAAGGCTTACCTGATGACACCGTTCACACTGGTAAGGCTTTTCGCCACTGTGCACACGCTTGTGGCGTTCCAGGTGGTATTTCTGGATGAAGCGCATGTCACATATATCACACTCAAACGGTTTCTCACCTGGCCCAGGTGGAAAAATGAATGTCAGGAGATAGATATGATAGGGAACACATTCCAGTTATGTTCCCAGACTCCTGAGCTATTGTAGATGTGGAAGGGCCCTAAAGCTGCTGATCTCAGGGACACTACATCCAGAGCCATGCAGTCTCTCTACCTCATTCACTTATCTTCTTCCATTTCTAATACTAGTTGGAACATAAACCCAAGTAGACAGCTACATATCAACACAGAATGCAAGCTATAGATTATTCTCCCCCCTTTGAATACAAGCAAGAGACTTACCAGTGTGAATAAGGATGTGCCTCTTGAGGTGGTAACTGCTCCTAAAGGCTCCAAAGCAGTGTTCACAAATAAAATTTTTGGGAATCTTTACTTGAAAAGAACCATTTTGTTCCACTACCACCACCTGGGGGCAACAATCAGGCATGTCATGAGGCTATTCCTCTGTTCTCTTCCTAGAAACTATTCTACTCCGGGTCTACTTCCAACTTCTGGACAAAGAACCTCTTTGATGCTTCCTAAAGGTACTGTCACCTGCCACATTCCTTAAGGGTAAGAGCTCCTCTGGGAAAGGAGATGGAATGGGTAAGGTGCCTACCTTGTCACATCCAACACTGAGTATGACATGAGCTGGGGTCAGCCTGCCCCTGACACAAAGGCACAATGTGGTTATGCTGTCTAACCTGTATCAACGATGTTCAGCAAGGACAGACATCAACTACCCACGTGGACTTTGGATGAGATCAGGGACACACACTCAGTGGCTATGAGGGACTGCAGCTTTAAGGAAAGCTCCAGAGTCACAGTGGGAAGAAAGTGAAAGATCCCCCCCATTACCAAACTGCACAAGTCAGAGGATTACCCCATTACCTGCCTTTTTAACAGTTTTTTTTGAATGAGAGGTCTCAGCCAAGCTGTCATCATCTTTGCGGCTCCGGGACTTATCACTGTCTTTTCGGTGACCCTTTGAAGACAAATCAAATTTAAACTCACAGTCCATCTCAGAACACAAGATGAGAAACCAAATGCTTTCTAATAAACAATTTACAAATGTGAGTAAGCTACCTGTTCCAAAGGTTTAGAGAATGTACTCATCTATTTCCTCTTCATGTACTCTGGTCTTAAGGAGTTGTAGGTACAGAAAAACCTTCCTTAGCTCTCTAAACACCCATATTCATTCATTCCCAGCTGGATCCCTTTTCCCCTCTTTCCTAAACGGAAGTTCCAAGGAATCAAAACTTGGTGTCTCCTGGCAGAGAGCTTGGGCCACCCGACCCCCAGGTGCCACAATGGACTCAAGTGCTGTACCTGACTCGAGCACCTCAGCACATCAGGGCTACCTGCCCGCTCGCCATTCTCGGCCTGCTTGCTGGCAATCTGGCTCAGCATCATCTTCTTGCTGGCTGCAGTGGGAACCAAACTCACACCTGCTAGGCCTTCACAAGCCAGGAGACTTGCCTAAGTTGAAAGGAGATGAGGTGTCAGGTCACCTGGCAGGGCAGGGCAAAAACAGACTGCCATCTCTACTGAACTACCTTTCACACCCTGTGTAAAACTGCTTTTCTCCAGGAAAGGCCCTCATCACATACAAGCCTTGCTTCCTTCAAGAGTTCTCCCTAACTCATCTCACCAGAACTAATTCCTTTTTGTTATCTTTCAGCATTGAAGTATAGATTGAATTAAGTAATATCAACACTTTGTCATTAGTACTGTGCCAGGTATAGTATGTGTGGCTAATGTTACTTTGATGGTATTTCTAAGCCTTAACTGCAAATGGCTGAGGGTCTGTTCAGCTGACTCACTGAAATGGGAGATTCTTAAGGGGGCTTTCCTCCTCCCTCAGTTTCAGAGCTCACTTCTAATTAACTGGCAGACCTTACTAATGCCAACTGTATTATTTTATAAGATTACTTCTCCATTTAGATTGTCAATTTTTGAAGGTATAAAAATAAATCACTTGGAAGGATTACAGAGTTGAATATATAATTTCTCTTGACTCTGTGGACCATTCAATCATTCGTATTAGTACATGTATGTCCACAAGCAAAATTCTTAGCAATACCCAGCACAAAGTTAGTGCTTAGCAGAGGCAGCCCTTTCAGAACAGGAATGAACAGGATGCTGTAGAGTGGGCTGCAAACAAAGGAAGAAGAAACTTGTGAATAACCTCTTTTCACTGCTACATTCTTTGAATTGACTTTGTTTAGTCAGGACTTGAGGAATATACATTTTTCTTACTGGAAGAAAACATTTTTTTTTTTTTTTGCATTACTGCCACTCCACCAGCCCTTTTTTTTTTTATTTTTATTTTGGGGTACTGAGGTTTGAACTCAGGGCCTACACCCTGAGCCATTCCACCAGCCCTTTTGTGAAGGGCTTTTTCTAGATAGGGTCTCAAAAACTATTTGCCTGGGCTGGCTTTGAACTGTGATCCTCCTGATCTCCACATCCCGAGTAGCTAGGATTACAGACATGAGCCACCTGCGCCTGGCTTACCTCCCCTTTTTTGTAATGGTTTTTTTCCAGATACGGTCTCTTGAATTATTTGCCAGGGCTGGCTTTGAACCCTGATGCTCCTGATCTCTACCTTTGAGTAGCTAGGATTATAGGTTTGAGCCACTGGCGCTCAGCAAAGAAAAACTTTTAAGAAATAGTTGGTCAGCAAACTCCCAAATTTATAAATTCCTTTCAGAATGATTAGTGTATCTTGGGACCACTTCTCCCACTTTCAGGGACTTTGCAGTAAAAGGTCTGGAGTTAAATCTTAGCTCTGCTGTTTGTGCTGTGTAATCTTAGGTCTTTTAAACCTCAGTTCCCTTAAATGCAAAATGCCTATTATAGTGCCTACCCTCGCAGGTTGGACGAGAATTAAATTAACATGCAAAATTCTTAGCAATACCCAGCACAAAGTTAGTGCTTAGTAGAGGCAGCCCTTTCAGAAGAGGAATGAACAGGATGCTGTGGAGTGGGCTGCAAACAAAGGAAGAAGAAACCAAAGGGTTCCTACACTGCACAGAGAGGAGGAAGCTGCGCATGCAGAAGCAGCTGGAAGACAGCCAACTACACTATAATCAGGCTGCCATCCTGGTGAGACTGGTAGAGGAGGTTCCTTGGAAGAAAGCTCAGAGCAGCTCTGGAGATGTGTGCACATAGCTTCTCTACGCAGATGACTATGACAGCAATCTGGTAATCCTGTCCTTCCAATCCATCTGCCATCTCAACAATGACAATTATCTTCTAAATACACTGATTAACATCCTTTAGGGCGTTCCCATTCACTAGAGAATAAAGTCTAGTTCCTTAGCAAAGTATAAAAGGTCCCTGGGTCATACATGGCTTACTTCTCCAGGAAACAAATCCCCCATCTGTCATTATCTACCCAGTATCCCTAATGATTCCCATTTAAATTTTTTGCTCCCTGATCACCAAACTACCTGCAGTACTTGAACATCATTTTCCCATGCTTCTAAGCCCCTACTCACACACTTCCCCTTGTCTGAATGCCCTCCTTTGCTTGTTTATCTAGCAAAGTCCGTTAAGCTTCATTTTCTTTTATCATCCATGCAGAAGTATCACTCTGCAGTGTACATACCTCTCTTATTGCACATTCCTTCAATCAACAGATTCAGAGTCTACTACTAGCCAGCCATTATGCAAGGTGTCGTGCATACAAAAATCATGAACCATCTTTCCATCCCTTCCCCCCACCCCAACTAGTCTGGAAGCTTACTGGGGACAAGAACAATCTTATTCATCTTTGTATTCCCAGCACAATGCCTTGCATATAACAAGAGTTCAATAAATTCCTGTTGAAAGAAAAAACAAAGCATTCACCATACTATTCACTCCCTTATGCCCCTCAGCACTTCATGTACCAAATGTACACTGAGTACGAACTGCTTTGCAAATGTCCCATCAGTGCCTGTGATGCAGTATAGCCTACCTCCTTCATTTGACTGGAAGCTCCCTGAACGCAGGGGCTGTGTCCTGTCTCCTTTCCTTCCTCTAGATCTCCCCCTGGTGCTTAATACAGAGCTTGGCTCACTGGGGTTGGTCAATATTCTTGACTAAGGCAGCATTCAAGAGTGACATTGCAAAGAGGCTTCCCAGTGAATGGTCTTGAAGGAGGACTCTAGAGCTTTTTACCTGAGCCATGCTGATTTTTCACTTAATGAACTCAAAAGTTCAGGAGGTGCTTGATCCAGCTCTCCTTGACACTGTTGTTTTGAAGAACTGTCACCAAATCACGGTAATGGCTCCTTCGTGTTCTTTCAGTCCTGCTGCCATATTGAACTGCCTTTGTCTTCCAAAAGAATGTAGTGTCCTCCAAAGGGAAAACAGTTGTTCCAAGAATCCCTGGTTTCTGTCTAGTTTCTACCTATTGTCCAAAGAATAGTATGCCAGTCTTGCTTTTCCAGTTGACGTCTCTTGATGAAGCTCTAGATCTATTCCAGAAACCTGAAACCAGAAAAGAACATGGGGCCCTTAAGTGCAACATCCTCAGGCCACACAACTTGTAACGCGTTTAACTTTTTTTGCTGGGCCCTCTCTGTGAGGCGCTAAAAGAGGTCATGAGTCAAGAAGAGCTTTCTTTCTAGGTCAGTAGAAGAAACTGGTCTCTTGGGGAAGGAGGAGCAGCCAACAGGAGCAAAAGTTAAGTGGAACTCAGCCAACAGAGCAACTGCTTGGATTTGCCATCTTAGGAATGGAAGAAGGGGGCGGGGACCCTTTGGGGCTTTTGTGCCGAGTGGGCAGGCCTGCAAAGCCGGCATTCTGCACAAGCGGGCAGAACCCGGGTGGAGGAGGACAGCTCGGGGGCCATCGCTGGGCGCTCGAGGGGCAGGCAGAAAACCGACTGGCAGTGCCCACACGTGTGCGATCTCCGGGTCCGCCCGAAGGTACGGAAATTAGCGGCGGAGGTGGAAGGCAGGCAGGCGAAGCCCGGCGCTGTGCATTTTCTTCCTTCTTCTCTTCCTTCCAGCCAGGCAGCAGCAGTGCCGGACTCATCAACCCACCAACCCCAAGGAGAGCCCGAGAGCGCCGAGCAGCGCGCGAGGTGCGTGCTCGCGCCCGCATCCACTTCCAGCAAACCCCCGAGCCGGGGACGCGGCGGCACGCGCGCGGCCCACCCCTTCCCGAACCCCCTCCCTTCGCCGCGCGCCCCTTCTCCCCTCCCCTCCCCTCCCCCTTCCCGCGCGGCGGCCCACGGCCTGCGAGCTGCTGAGGCGCTGCAGTCCGCCGGGACGACGCTACGCTCTCTGCGGCGTGCGCCTACCTGCCAGGCGCGGCCTCTAGCTGTCTCCCTTGTTGCGCGGCGCCTCCTTCAGGCCCCTGCACACGGTGCCAACCCCCTCGGCCGCCGCTGCCCCCGCCGGGACCGAGGCAAGTTTACAAACACCAACCCGGGGCCCGTTTCCCCGGAAGCACTTTTCCCTCCCCCTCCTCCTCTCCGCCGAGCGGCCACATCCACTTCCGGGCTCGGGAGCCTGGACAGGCGGGGGCCGCCAGAAAAGGGGTGAGGCTGGGGACGCGCGGTGCGCTGCAGCTGGTGGGTGGGCGGGGCTGTCCGCGGAGGACAGAAAGAGGGCGGCCCAGAACGCCGCGCGTGCGCTGTGGCGCGGTAGAGCCTCGACCGCCATCTTGACTGAGGGCAGGAACCAGGGCCCTGATATTGCTAGGCGCTGGGGGCTGGTTGGGTAGCTTTGACTCCTTGAAAAAGCGCTGTTCCCCTCCCTTCCGTTGCTTCTGAGCCTGGAGTCTCATGTAGAAGCCGGAACAGTTTGTACTGTCAATTTTTTTTTTCCACTCCCGATTTTTTTCTTCACTTAATTTGGCCGGGTTTGTCTTTCTGTAAACTTGCCATTGGGCCCAGATCTGCAGTTTTGGGATTCAGCTGGGAGAAAAGTTAATCCTTGTGCAATCCTGCCGTGTACACTCAGCTACAATCTGAAAGTGAGCCCTCTCTCAAAAGCCGTTCCCTAAGTAGTCCGACGCCACCCTGCTCATGTCCCTGCAGAAGTCCCTGCACCCGAGACCAGCCTGGTTGTTACTTTCTATCCTCTACCACCCCTGTCATTTAGGTGGTCTGACCTTGGCCTCCACACTGGAAAAGGCCATAGGATTCCCTTCACTAGTCTTGTGGGAGATCTGGCCATGCAGGTTGGCCCCTGGACCAGGCTGTTTTAGGAAATTGGAAAATTGAGCCCATCTTTTCTACCCACAACTTTTACCAATAGGGAGGGATCTTGCTAAAATGCACATGACGAATTACGTGTAAGTCCCGATTTCTACTGCAGATGGTATTAGGTTATGAGTTTAGGAGAATTCATTTATTTGTTTGTACTGAGGTTTGAACTCAGGAAGGCGCTCTACCACTTAAACTACACCTCCAGCCCTTTTTGCATTAGTTAGTTATTTTGCGGTATTCGGGTTTGAACTCAGGGCCTACACTTGAGCCACTTCACCAGCCCTTTTTGTGATGTTTTTTTTCGAGATAGGGTCTCGAGAAGTATTTGCCTGGGTTGGCTTCGAACCACTATTCTACTGATCTCTGCCTCCTGAGTAGCTAGGATTACAGGCGTGAGCCACCGGCCCTGGACTGCATTGTCTGTTTTTGAGATAGGGGCTTGCTTTATGTCCCATCGGCTGGGATAACAGTCACGTACTACCAGACATTAGTTGAGGCTAAGGTCTCGGGAACTTTTTGCTGGGCTGACCTCAAACCACAAATCATGATCCTCCCTCTATCCACCTCCCAAGTATGCAAATAGGTGTGAGCCTCTGGCGCCTGACTTAATGCTTTTTTTTTTTTTTAACCATTTTAATATTGATTTTGTAAATTACCTTTTCATATTCTTTACCCATTAAGAAAAAGTAGATAAGGTGGGGGCATGGCTGAAGTGATAAAGCTCCTGCTTAGCAAGTGCAAGGTCCTAAGTGCAAACTCCAGTAACCCCCCCAAAATTTGTCTATTCTTTATTTTTTGACACACATACTATCTTTATGTACATCAATTCTTTATCCAGTTATCATCTGCATTTAAAATAATTTATCTTTTAACATTTTTTTTTTCCTTAAGACATGGTCTTGTCCCAGGCTGGCCAAGAATTGGTGATCTTCCTGCCTCAGCCTCCCAAATAGTGGGATTACAGGCATGGACCACCAAACCCAGCTCTCTTTTGAACTTTTTTTGAGAGTAAAAGTCATGCTTAGGGAAAAATTTTAAATTCTTTTGATGCTGGGGATCAAACAGAGGGCATTGTTTGTGCTAACCAATCATTCTATCACTGAGCTACCTACCCAACTGTATGAGAAAATAATCTGAAACATTTCTTTCAAATGTAGAAACAAGTGAAGAATATTAACCATTAAAACAAATATTCTATTACAGATCAAAAATAAAATAATGGCTGGGGGTTTAACTCAATGGTAGAGCACTTGCCTAGCATGCCAGAAATCCTGGGTTCAATCCACAAAACTGAAACAAAAAAATCCAAACCCTCATATTCTAGTGGAGTTGCTAGCCACACAAAAGTTTCATTATATTCCTAGGATGTATTCATTTGCAAAGAGAAACAATTGACTATATAAAGTACTTAGTTAAAACTAGTGAATTTAACATGACTAAATGTAAGATTAACATACAAAAATTATATAAAGAAGAGTAAGAACAATAACCAACTATAAAATGTCATAGAATAATTTAATTTGCAGTAAAATATATTTCTAGAAAAAATTTAACAGGAGGATTGGTGGAGTGGCACAAGTGGTAGTAAGCATGAGACCTTGAGTTCAAATCCCAGTACCAAAAAAAAAAAAAAAAAAAAAAAAGATGAAAGGTACTTCAACTGTACATTTGCTCAAGTGGGAGAGTGCCTGCCTAGCAAGCATGAGGAAGTATAGGGTTCAAAACCCCCATACTGCCAAAAAAAAACTTTTAAAAAAATGTAACAAGAAACTACAAGTCATAGTTTTGAGAAAATCCTACTATTGTGATGAAAGTTAAATAGAACTTTACTGCCAGGTGCCGGTGGCTCAGGCCTCTAATCCTAGATGCTCAAGAGGCAGAGATCAGGAGGATTGAGGTTTGAAACCGGCCCGGGCAAAAAGTTCCATGAGACCCTATCTCGAAAAAACCCTTCACAAAAAAAGAGCTGGTAGAGTGGCTCAAAATGAAGGCCCTGAGTTCAAACCCCAGTACCTCAAAAAAAAAAATTTTTTTTACCATGTCCATGAATGAATAGGAAGACTGAACATTGCAAAGACATCCATTTTTGCTATAGATTAAGTTACATTACATTCTAATTAAGGGCTAAGGGTGTAGCCCAGTGGTAGAGCACTTGCCTTGTATGCACAAGGCCCTGGGTTCGATCCCCAGCACCAGTAAAAAGTTTTAGTTAGAACAAGATTTTGCATGGCTCCTAAGCTGATTGGGTTTTTTTTTTTTTTTTTTTTTTGTGGTGGGGATCAAACCTAGGTTTCATGCATGCTAGGCAAGCTTTCCACCACTGAACTACATCCCCAACTCATAGGCTGATTTTAGGATTTACCTGAAAAAAATAATTGCAGGAAGAGCAAACAACATTTTGAGTAACATTGAGCAAAATAAATGAGTCAGAAGAATAAAGCTGTGATTTATCTTTTTCATTTTTTGAGACAGGGTCTTGCAGGATAGCCCAGGCTGGCCTGAAACTCAAGATCCTCCTGCCTCAACCTCCTGAGTGCTGGGATTACAAGTTTGTGCTGTACACCAGTGCCATGAATTATCTTTAACAACCTATTAAAGTTGTTATATCTCTTTTTACACAGTACTTTAGAAGTTTTATGTTGTCAAATCTCCCTGTGGCTTTTGAGTTTTTGTGTCATGCTGCCTCAAGATTATTAAAATCTTTCTTTGTACTTCCTCCTGGTGTTCTGATAGTTGTATATTTTCAGTTTACATCTTTATCTTAGCAGCAGTTCATTATTGTGTATGGAAAGAAGTAGTGAGAAACTCCAGATTTAAAAGGATCTAGTGAAATAGAGGTACTAGCCTATATGTCAGAAAATCAGCCATCTAGATTTGCTCCTATGTCACCTTTGTAATCTTGAACAAATTAGCTAACCCATCTCTGGCTCAAGAGTCTTCATCTTGAAGATGAGAGTGAATAAATACCTGTTCTGGCTAATTTCTTGTACCATTGTGAGGATCAAAAGAGATAATAAATGAGAAGGCTTTGAGTAGGGAAAAAAGGCCTTTGCAAATGTAAGAAATCGTTAGTATGGATTCCTGGTTTATGCAAATCAAATGTAAACAGAATACAGTGTTATTTTCATTACCTGTAAATAGTTGATTGATCTGACAAATGTTTTTTGTTTGCCTTTGTGCAAGACCCTGGGGGGTGGGAGAAAACTAGAGAGTGAGGAAGATAGACACTAACATTTTCAGGCATACCTATTTTGTATTTGGTGCTTGACTCACTGAAGGATAACAGTCCTGTTTGCCTAGGAATGTACAATCTAGGACTGGGAGAATCCTTGTGCACATATAGAAAGTTGGTGCCTCTGTTAGTGTTAAAGTCAGTGGTTTTTTTTGAGACAGGGTTTTGCTATGTAACCCATACTGGCCTCCTGCCTCAGCCTCCCAAGTGCTTTTACAAACCTGTTGTCCTTCCTCCCCCACCCCTTGGAGTTTGTTGATTGGCAGCTAGCACAGAGGCCAGATTAGCTGGAGCCCACAGGGCAGTCACAGTACCTGGTGCAGTGCCAGCCAGGCGGCAGAAGTAGACAATCAATGTTTGCTGAATGAGCTGAACTTATTCTCCTCTGAGAACTAGTGTGGGATGTGTAATAGAAATGAGCAATGTCTGGATCCCTTTGCTACCCCTTAGATTTTTGATGATAGTGGATGGAGAAGTTGGGAAACCAAATGATACACAAGGGACAATTCTTGAGCTTAGCAGTGGATATATTTTGGAATTCTTTTTTTTTTTTTTCCCTTGCAGTGCTGGAGATTGAACCTTGTACATGCTAGACAGGGGCTCTTCTACTGAGCAACATCCAGACCTGGAATTTTTTTTTTTTTGGCGGTACTGGGGTTTGAACTCAGGTCCTCAGGCTTTTGAGGCAGTTGCTGTAGCCCAAGCACTGGAAGTCTTGTGGTTCCTTAATTTCTCCTTAATCTTTTCTTATTGTTTCAAAATAACCTTTATTTATTTATATAAATAATACAGAATTATTGTATAAAAATATAGACATGTGTAGATAAGAAAATTACAACCACCCATAATTCCATCAGTCAGTAATATCCATAGTTAATTTTTTTTTTTTTGTGGTACTGGTGTTTGAACTCAGAGTCTACACCTTGAGCCACTCCACTAGCCTTTTTTTGTGATGGGTTTTTTTCAAGATGGGGTCTCTCGAACTATTTGAACTGTGATCCT